TAGTGGTTGTTAGCTTACAAAATATGAAAACGCTTTCTCCTTTTATCAGACAAATTAACTTCTTCCAATGCAGTTTAAAAGATGACTGCAAGTTGTGAAATTCTATTGATGTTGTTTGATTCTCTTCCAAAGGTTCGTTGGTTATGGGTTAGTGGTAGAGTTGCCCTTATTGTTGGCTTTCAATTTGATGGTCCTTGGTTCAAGCCCCAACAGAGTGGAAGTCCCCCACTTTGTGATATGTTCTATCATATCCTATTCTTTATTCTATGTGCCAATGGGTATACAGGTCCTGAAATGAGTACCGGTAACACAAATTGTACTTTTTTCAATTTTGATCATTTACAAATTTTCCTTTCTAATCTTTTCTAGGGGGGGGGGATGGGTGGCAGTTTAAACTATGCTCCATCACATGAATGAGGCAACTAAAAAACTTTTGCTTTATATTACAGTAAATTGTTAAATGATTTAAAAATTCTCATGGTTGTCAATAATTTTGAAGCTGTCTGACAATGTGTTCAAAAGTCCTTGGTTATTCCATGATAAACTACTTAGGAAATTTAAATGTTAAGTACTTTAATTCTATTATATGGATACTTCCCAAATAAAATTTACTTGATGACCGAGGTTTTTGCCTGCCATTGCAATACCAAGTGTATTCATCCCATTTTACAGAACCTCTAAATTAAAAAAAATTGTCACTACTTCCCTGTTAGGGGGTAAGTATTAGAAAACAGTTTAACTCATATGTCCCTGGTTTTATTCTGCAATTATTAAACATAGTGTAGATGAAGGGGAAAGAGTCAAGGGTCAGATTTAAACATAGTTTTGGGGCACCCAAAAGAATAAAAAGTTAATAGTCACTGTACAAATATACACATTTTAGTGAACTAGATTGAATAATTTGCTTGTATGGTGGTCCTGCAATTAAATTACTTTTGTACTTCACTTTGAAAGACAAAGCTGTGTAGGGTACAAGGAGGCCGTTCTGATCCAACCAAATTCATTATATCTATATGTCCTAGCCCACAGTAAATTCTGCTTCCAAAATCAATAACGGAAGTATTCAGAATAGAGATTGAGATGGAACTCACTGAAGCTAAATTACAAGACAGACAAGAAGAGGATTTTTGGTTATCAGCCATGAAACTGTACCCATAGTCAATAATTGCCTAACACGATACAGAATCGGAGAAGATACCCAATGAGGAAAAAGATAAGAAAAAATAATAAGAAAGATGGCCGAGGATGTTTTTAAGATGACGGATGAGAGTCAACGATGTTCTCGGGCACCTTCTTTAGTGAAGAATGAGAGGGGGTGTAAGCTTTTAGAGCCAGTGGAAGGAAACAATCTCTTAGTTTTTGAAATGATACGTCTATTATATGTTATTTGTTTTCCAAGTTGTCTCCTTGCAAGGATGGCTTGCTCCCAGCAATGTTGGGGTGCTCCCTTACAGGCCCGCCTCTCCCGTTTCCCCTCGTTTAAACTCGCAACGCCTCTCGCGTAAACAATAGAGGTGGGGGGATGAAACTCTGCGCTGGCGTTGCGGGCCGTTCGGGAAACCCGAGCCCCATCTCATCTATCCCATTTTAGGGGAGTGATGCTGTTCGGATGCAACCCAGCTTGGGCAAGGATGGGCCAGTCATCTCCTTGTGGTTGGCTACACGGTAACATCGCTGCAATTTAGCAGGGAATCGGAGCTCCCATTTAGGGAGGGTGATATCTGTTTTTCCATTAATTGATTTTTGCCACTGGTTTTGGAGGAAATCAGATATTTTTTGCGCTCTATCCTCCCTCATGAAGTGGAGATACATTTTAATTCATTGTCGGATACAAATGGTCGTGATTTTTGTCTTTGCTCCCAATCGTGACCATGGGGTAATCTTTAGACCAGACAACTTACCCTCTTGGAGCGCCCGGCGATAAACAACTTACCAAGGGAAATCCTCACATGATATGAGCTAGAAGTTTACCCTTGATTGTTTTAATGTGTTCTATAGGAGGTGTCCAGTTTCTATCTACCTGATGTTCTAAAGACCTTCACATTGCCTGCCATTGAAACCTCTTCTTACATGAACTTGAACGTGTAATACTTATCGTTAAGCCGATTTCCTTTTTTTTAAGTACATTCGAGTGTTTGTGAATATATACGTAGACAAATCAGTATTATCCTGAAAATTAAACATTAATAAAACAGCTTAATCAAATTTTAGTCGCAAATTATACAATCATATCTCCTTGAATTGTTAATACAGTATAGACTAGAAAGATTGTTGCGTTCCAGTAAAACGTCTTTATTTTATGTCCCACAGACTATAACAAAATCCTCTGGAGAAAGGTCATTTCATATGCAGCCACTGTTTTATGGAATAAATTGCTGGAATACCTCAGGAATATGGAAACAAACAAAAGTTCAAAAGTAATTTAAAAACATATTCATTTAGCACTTTGTAAAATCTCACAATTATGAACCTAGTGTACCATTTCCACTCCTTCTGTATTCTGTCCTGAAAAGCGCATAGAGACATGCAATTATGTTATCCGCTATACAAAAACGACTAATAATTATTATAATTATGAATTATTAGGTGTATAAATCGATCAATCTCGATATTCTGAAGGTGCTGAGTGGCATTCAAAGCACTTAAATGCAAGTGTATGAATGAAGAGACTAACCGCAAACAATTTAGCTAGGAATAATTTGATCAAATGATTTTACCAAGCAGTTAACCACTATGTGGCCAAGTATCTGAAATGAATTTCATTTTATATTTGATAGCAGAGGCAGAGCTTTAATTCACTTCTTGTTATATACAAGCACAAAACTGCTATTTAATTTGTATGTGGATTTCTACCTTTACAAGATACATAGGTGGGGGAAAGGTTATTGCTTTAATCCTTTGATCTCATTTCTTATTATCTTCCACACTATGTTGATACCTTTTCTACTTTTTGCCATTTATTAATAGCACAAAAGAGGAAAAGCTATCAACATTTTGCAAATATCCATGAACAATCAGATTTCAAATATTTAGTGTTGCACAATAGCCTTTTGAAACACCTTCAGCTAGTGATGAATTCATTGTTGCTCGTTCTATTTAGCGAGCATTTACGAGTATCTCAAAGCGTCAACCCCCCAAAGTATGGACAATGTTCTACATGATTAACAGCTATTGACAAAAGTCATAACAATATTTATGATATTCATTTGGTGGGAAAATGTCAAATTTTTGAGAAGGAAAAATGTGGCATTGTGTAGAAAATGAAACTCTTATCGCTTTGATAACAATAGACTGAATACCGATATGAAATGCATTTCTTTGATAGCCATCCATGTAAAACACCCTTTTCACTCCTCTTGAAAAGTGTTGGTATTTAGGGGGAGATTTTATTTGAATAATAACCATATTATGAGATGTATGAATGTTTGTCTGATGAAAATGACAAACATTGTATTGGCTAATCTATTCACATGTATGAGGTAGCATACCGGTACAATTATTCTGTATGATATTAGTTTATGAGAATTTAGACACATGCACTAGCAGTGAATTTGTTAATCATATTTCTATATGTATACTTTTTAAGAATAGATGAATAGTAGAAGATCTGAAATTATATTAGATCATGATTATGAAAGGAGAAAATGAGAAGAAACAGCTACAAAAACACACATGATAACAGAAATAATGTGGACAAAATTCTTGTTCTTCAGATTCTTCTCAAAACTTGTTGGAAGGATAGGGGGGGAAATGCAAAAAAGAGAAGGAAAAGAAACATTTTCGGCTATTCTTGTCAACACTCACTGGCCATCTGTTGGATAAATAACGAGATGTATGGGGGAGGGGGGTGAAAGGGCAGGTAAATATTACAAATTTAAAAAGAGTTTCTGAGAGATTTGAACATGTATCTCCTTGACCTTCCCAACTGTCTTGGCATTGTATCTGTTAAATAGATTAGAGGTACAGAGTCAGGGATGGAGCTTCGAGGTTGAGGGGGGGGGGGGGCTGGGGGGCTTCAATGGGAAGTCCATCCTGATATTAATTTGGTTTTAATAGAAGCAGAAAAATGGGGAAAATAGGTCAGTGAAAGTGTGAGCAAAAAAATTATTGAAAGTTAGATAGTTGTGAATTTTTGAAGGAGTGATCAGTCAAACACAAATTGGCAACTCTGTGATGTATCTTGGGAGCTCCCCTCCCATCTGCCCTGTACAAAAAAACTTTTAAAATGTATAGTTTCTCTTGAGAATTTTTCAAGCATACATTCACCCTAGATATCATTGTTGCCCATGTTTCTATGTGTAAAACAAATCTTTTCAGTCCACAATAACTAAAAAAATGAAAGTTTATGAAATTTTTTGTACAGAGCAAATTCGAGAAGAGTTCGCAAGATACGTTCAATCAAGTGTTGCTAATTTGTGTTACGCTAATATCAACTTTAAAAAACTTTCTTGTATTTAATCAGTTTTTGCTCAAACTTTCACTCATTTGTTTCTCTCATTTTCTGCTTCTATAAAAACCAATTTAAAACCCACCCAATATCAGAGTGGACTTCCCCTTTTACTCCGGAGGTTGAAGGATGTCAAAGTCATTTGGATCAACTTTTTGTGGCATTTCAGTTTCATTTTTTTGATGTATTTTAGAACTCATTTCTTATAATCGACACCAGACATATGAATTTGTTCCGCAATTAATCCAAATAAAAATCACATCTTTCAATCTTGATCTAATTCTCTTCTTTCCATGATAATACAGTCAAACCTGCTTTAGTGACCACCTGTCTACAAAGACCACATTTTTTTGTTTCTCTTGAAAATGGTTTCTCATTGAAACTTTAGTAAATTTTTCAATGAAAAACCTTTTTACAACGACCACTTTTTGCGTTTCCCTTGGGTGGTCGCTATAGACAGGTTTGACTGTACTTCTATCTTATATATCTTCTTATCTCATACATTTCTTCTCTCTTTCCCTCTCAAAATAAAAAACAAACGATACAATTCCGATATTTTCCTTCCTTTCAATTTATTTTTGTTAGACTTCAGTATAATAAAATATACAAGCTTCACTATATACTACACCAGTGCATACATATATTTGTGAATTGGTACATGTACATACAATCTCATCACTTATCAAAGAAATGACAGCGAGGGGGTACTATCACCAATAAATCAAGAGTATCAAGACAAAACCAAATCATGATTACTACCACAAATAATGCAGTAGTCCTTTTATATGCTCTTTACAACTGAGACCTTGCCTTGTCTTGGCCAATAAAATAACAGTACACAAATACTTTATATTTTTCACACACATAAAACAGTCATAAATACTAGCAACAGACAATAACATAGAATTTTTAGGAGTATTGTACAGTGGATCCCAGAAAGAAAAAAACACACCCAAGTATGAACAGAAGTAATATGCTTTCAAACGATATATTGATTACATTAATCCATACATGATTCACTAAGCGATATCGTTGACGGTATATTTTTTACTTCCATGTTACGCAACAGTTGTTGGATGGTATTTCCACAAGAGTGATGTGCACCTTGCATTTACATTTCTTTTTTGCTGGGATACACTGTACATTAACTACATCTCTACGTACTCCTAAATAACAGTATTTGTATTCCTTCTATATCATGATATCTAATTTCTACCAAAAACAATAGTGATGCCAATTCGTTTCTTCCAAATTCCATGCTAATGGCAGCTTCTTTCAATACTGATATTTGAATACAATAACTTGTGTTTATCAAGAAGGTACATGATGTCTGTGCAAAATGCTTTGATTAGCTAATCACTATACTTTGTGGAATGTTAAAAAAAAGAAATATTCTGAAAGGCCTAAAGCCAGTATAAGTGCTATCATTATTGCAAGAATCAAAGAAATATTTTTGCTTTTACTATAACTTGAAGTACCACTTTTGTCACTAGTAATCTACGATTTAACAGCTGCAAACTTAATAATCTTCTATATACAAACTTCATGAAAAAAATTATAAAACATTGCTTACGTACTTGAAAAGGAAATGCATATTTCTACAAGGTATCTCAAAAAAAGCAACAAGAGTTTGATTGGCAACATCTTCAAAATATGCAGTCATTCTCAATTGAAATTACATGTGTATGGCAGTAATCACTTTTACAGAACATACTGTATGTTACAAAGTGAACTCTCATCTCAAAGGAACCTAAATGTTCATAGATCTTCTGACAATTGATATCATAAAATCAAAGTTTGGTCTTTGTTACAGTTCACATGTAGTTTTAGAGTATAGCACATGACATAACAAAGTTTATTAATGGCTTAGTACTTTTCAAAATATTGTCAAATTCTTGTTGCATTTTTTTAGAGACCCTGTATAATATATAAAACAAATATCAAAATAATTGAAGATGCGACTATATGTAATCTACAATACACAAAAAACTGTTTGAATGAAAAATAATACTGACAGTGTGCTGATGTCAAAAATGCATAGAACAAAACATTAAAACAAATATTCAAATTTCATTATTCTCTTGTAAAATAAACAACTATACATGAATGACTAAATTTGTGTGCCACTTAGGTAGGGACATTCTTGCAGTCGACGATATAAGGAAATTTGTACCAGTAAATGTGACAAAAAAGAAATATGGTGAAGGCTTCTGCCATATCATCAAAACTACTTTGCAGAGTCAGCGCAGACAGATAATTTCTCATCAAAAATGGACTTGACAGTTTGAGTGAGAGACTGCCACAAAGAGAAGAAATAAAATCATGAATTCTCATTATGATTAAAATACTCAAGGCCGCTCCACAAACAGGCCCGCAATTGTCTACCCTTCTTCATCATTTTTTCCCACTTGTATTTTATTTTCATCACTGCAAATCCCACGATATTCCGCAAACTAGGAAAAGAAGGCCGAAATACTAGAAAGATGCATAGATCTTTCATAATGAAATAACTGGATTGAAATTGGTTACAGCCGTTAAAGACATCAAAAAGTTGATCTAATCAGGCGAGGAGCCAACGAGAGTTAGAAAACTTTTTCTCCCCCACCCCCCTCGAAAGGAAAAGTTTGACAGGGTAAAAATTGTCATATCGCAAATGAAATTGCCAGAGTACAATCCTTAGACACTATATACCATTCTATTCGTTTACCCCAGCCCAAATCTCAGGAAACATACATACCCTCAAATCTTGCAATTTGTACAAGAGAGAGAGAGAACGCCAAAAGAGAGAGTTCATAAAAAGTCCAAAAAGGCAGATGTTAGCTAGATAGGGCATTGTTTGCAACTATGCTTTTATCTGTCATATCTATCCTACCGGGCTTCCCTAAATTTTATTTTCATAATGAAATTTGCAGGAAGTTTGGACAAGTGGTGGAGCGATTTTGATATTCCATGGTTGTCAAAAAACCAGAGAGTTGAACATAGGAAGAAGAGAAAACCTCTCAGTGTCAACTTCAAAGAGGTTCCTGTTCGCTCTACTTTTGTTTGTTATCATTTATTGTATGCATTAATTTTGCGGTCGATGGATTTTGCTGGATTTTCTCACGAGAGCTGTGCGTAGGATGATAATGAAGAGTTCAACCACCCAATTAAAATGGACCTCGAACTCTATTGGGTTCATATCAACCTTCACACTTTTTAAAACATACATGTATTAGCAAAGAAATTAATTATATCTCTTCTGAAAGGAAGTTGTTCAAACATGATTTTTTTCTCCCTTCTCCTCATGCAATGGCAGTGTAATGATTAAATAATCAAGTTCTTAGCATTGTAATATGGTTAGTAATGAGAAATTATTTCATAGCAAATAATACATATAAATTCATAAGTGATATATCTTCTTCAAGTATGATTAATTAGGCAGTTCTTTCTCAACCTTCATTTCTTTTGTGACCTTGATTGTGAATGACTGTTTACAAAACATTCTTCCCTGAGATTAACAAAATGAACAAAACTTATAACAGCTTTATGTTAACTTGTGCAATTAGCAACAACGATACATAGAAAAAGAAATGCCCATCATCGATTCAAGAAAATACATTGGATCCTTGTTATATCACAATTTTTTTAGCCCCCTGCCATATATTTGATTGTTTTTAGCCATGAACAAGATAAGTTTTCTTGATCCCAAAGAAATTTCTTAAAAACAAGATTCCATTGCATCTTGATTCCCTCTACGAATTACAATATATTTCTATGCACTGTAGCACATCAGACTTATTTAGCATTGACAAAATTAAATGCAGGTTTCATTTACATTTCAACTGTTTGGATTCTTAAGTAAATGTTTGAACCGTAAGGGAGCTTAGAAAGATATAGTGGAGTAAAAAGATGTGTCCAGATCACATAATTGTTGAAAATCAATATTTCATCACATAGATGTAGAAGAACATCATTAGAATATGGAGGTCGTAAAAACACATGTTGAACTACATCTATTAGGTTCAATAACACCCAAGTTTAATTCAAATATGTTAAACGAAAACTAGTAATTCAACAGCATTGCTATGCGTTTTTGTGTTGTGGATACATCTTTTAATGCCACTGCATTTCTAAGTTCCCTCACCTGTTTGGTGGAGCAGTTCATATGGCGAAACACCAGAAAGAGCCACCCTGACCAGAAAATGACCCCGTTTTCATTTGGACTAGCTGACCTGCACAAGCCCCGACTCTGACATGGCTAATTGTCATCTATTCTGTTTTACCAGCAGTGGGTTCATCGTTGGATCCCAGTGGTGTCATCTTCAATGTGACTTGTGTACACATGATAATTTGAAATTTCACGAAAAAGGGTTTATTTTTGGTGATGTTTGCAAACGTTGAATTGTTCATGGATTTGTTTTAAAAAGGGGGGAATTTTTTTGTATGAAAGAACAAGAAAACTTCATGAAAATGGGTCATGTCTTCACAATGTTTTTTAAATATATATTTAACTGTTTTTGCCAAAATACGGTACACTTTGTGATCATGTATTTGATAAGCCGAAAATAGAGTCATAATTAAGGTCAATTTTATAATTTTTTAACGAAAAAAGGGCTCCTTTGGTGGGGAGGGGGGGATGTTCTTGAAAGCAAGCCAAATAGGGGGTCATTTTCAACACTTTGAACATGAGGTGACATCACCGGCAGATGGATATGACCTTAAACATTTGATGCTTCTAGAAATATGCACTTGCAACATTGTACATAATAAGTAGAAGATTGCAAAATCATATGTATTTCCATGAATGATCATACATACTCCCCACTTGTACAGTCAACCAAATTTTACAGAGGAAAGAAATTATGTATAACTATCAAATGTTCACATACGAAGGCATTCTTTTTACATTTCTAAAATACTGATTTGATGCTAACAATAATTACTAATTATCACCTTTTTTGGAAGGGGGGCAAATATTAGGATACTTATCAATTTGTAAATACAAGGGGGAGAGAAAGTATATCAAGGTGCAAAACATTTAAAACATAACCAAAAAAATATAAAATAAAAATTTAAAAGTTACAAATCGAGGAAAAATAGTTTACTTTTTAGCAACAAACTTCACATCATATTAGACAAAACGATCAACGATAGCACACACAAGATTTTAGCAATTCCTGGCTTCTTAGTTTTTCACAAGTCTACCGGAGGAAGAAAAACCCACACATGTTTAAAGTGGGAGAAGGTAGTTTCTTTCCTCATTCTTAAATATGTACTATCACTTGAGACTACTATGTGAATAAATATGGTTTTTGAACGCTGTACAAGAAATGTATTCATTTTTTTTCTTCATCATCAGAACAAAGGTTACAACATCATTATCATACGTGTACTATAACTTCTAACATCACTCATATCAATTACCATGATTAAATTGCTCGTTAATCTGGAGCCATCCTAGCACACTACTTGCTGCATCACATCAGGTGGTAAATTCATTTCAAACTTCTAATTAGACGACAGTTTTTCAGAGATTTCCTATTTACAACAAACATTTTCTTATGTCCCATTTTTTATATTACACATTCTTTACATCAAATGCAGAGCTACTGTTAAAGTCTGTACATTGTTCAAAAGAACAAAGTCTTTGGTTTGAATTAAAACAAATCATAAGGATAAGAAATAAGTGATGCTTTTGAGAGGAAACTTTGCTAACTAAAAGATTCCTTGCCACATGATGACAAAGACAACATAATACACCAAGCCATCTACCTAGGTCATTTCTACCTATCGCTGATGATGAAAGGTAAAGCAAATCCCCTCTCATCCAAGCGATGTACTATTTTGCAATAATTACCAAAATCAATTTTCTCCTGGAGGTTGAAATAAGAGGCATGATTGAAAAGTTTAAAAACGTTTTTACAAACAGGCTGATCAAAGGGTTGATACCAAAGGTTATTAATTACATATACACATGATTATTACCCTTCATCATTTTATATAGATATATATTAGTTATATAAATATCAATTCACATTCAGATACTGATTTAGTCCACGCATATATATTTCCTCATCTGCAGATTACACATTGCTCTTATCCTAAATATGTTATTCATCACAATCATGACTCGCAGTGAGAATACTCCACCGCTGTCAATCGTAAGATACCTTGCCCTTCATCCGTAGTAAGTACAAAAAACCTATTTCATGTTAAAGCTGATTTTGTTAAGTCATTTCTGAGGTATCGCAGGCATCTCTTAACCCTTTCAGTTCTTCTCCTTCCCATAGAAGCATTTAATAGCTGCTTATGACAGTCATATACATACAATTAATTCATGAATCACAAATACTTCAACATCAATGATACTCAAAGCAATATGATTCCCCAAGACAGAGGCCGACTTCCGACTGCTACACCCTATGAACAAGGCCAAGCCCGACTGGTCAAAGTCTCTCTGCATACACAAATTAGGGGAATTCTTTGGAATTGTTGCATTCCCTATTTAAACAATCATGATGCCCAAAGAAAGCATGAGCATGTCCTTTCAAAATAAAAACTGGTGCAAGCACACCAAACGTTTAAATTATACCCTGTTTTAAATCAATTGCCTTGTAATATTTGCTTGATGGGCTACTGAGAGTTCTAAATGATAACCGACTAGGGGAAATAAGAAGCACCAAAAAAACACAACATGGATAAATCTACAGAATGAACAAACATTATACCCTGATGGAAGCAAGAAGAAAAAAAAAAATCATCTGGCATTATTTTCTTTCTTTAAAAAATGTACACCTTTTGACAAACGTGTCATACTAGTAAGTCTCCCTCTGGAGAAACATAAAATATATATAAACATATAAAACAACATCGCAAAACCAAGGTCTTGGAAGAAAATAAATTGGAAGCTCTCCTGACTAAAGTCACGCAGGACGTGTCCCACAAATGACATACACAGGTTTAATCAAGATTTGTACAAAAAAAGGTGGGTGAATCGAACTGATATTATTAAGACTATGAACTCAACTGTGGTGCAACGGGTGGGGTTCTACTGTTGGATCGCTCTAGAGCTATCTCCTTGTTCTGGGCTAATTCTCTCTTGAGGGCCATCTCCCTGGAGAATGCTTCTTCCCTGTTCAGAGCTATTTCACGGTTGAGAGCCTCTTCTCGAGTTGCCATCTCACGGGAGAGTGCCTCTTCTCTGTTGATTGTCATTTCGCGAGACATAGCCTCCTCTCTGTTCATTGCCATCTCGCGGGAGCGAGCTTCTTCTCTGTTGAGAGCGATCTCGCGAGACATAGCCTCCTCCCTATTCATCGCCATCTCGCGGGAGAGAGCTTCTTCCCTGTTGAGAGCAATCTCGTGGTTGAGGGCCTCGTCTCTGCTCAGGACCATTTCACGGTGGCGTTCTGCTTCCCGGTTGTACGCTGCCTCCCTGCTCTCTGCAGAAGGAGCCAAGCTGTTCCTCATGATGACTGACGGGGAATCCTGGAGATGGAGGCTAGAGGGTTGCTGAATAACAGAGATCTCGTTGGCCTTGGAGTTAGCAGCTGCTGCTGCAGCAAAGCCATTAATAAGATGAGGAGGAGGGTAGTGGTAGAAAGCACCCTCTGCGAACCCTGGGTGCATGCCAAATAGGTCCCCACGGAAGATCTCTCCTTCTTTGGGGCTGACGATGAATGGGGGTTCAACAGCGATGCGTCGTCCCCGTCGTCCACCCCCATTCCACATGTGGGTGCCAAGATGAACCTTGAGGTTGCCTTTGGTGGTGAAGGCTCGGCTGCAGATGTGGCAACGGAATGGTTTCTCTCCTGTATGGGTGCGCATGTGAATCTCTAGGGCACTGTTAGTCTGGAACTGCTTGCCACAGACAGAGCAGGAATGCTTGAACTGACTGCGTTTGTTGGCTTCTTCTGGGGAGACACTCAGACTGCGCTTCAGGGGTGGGGTCTGGGAGTTGATGGTGGTGGTCGTCTGCTGTAGAGGAAGTTCTTGGCTGATAGGCTTTGGCATGACTGGAGACATGGAGTGACTAGGGTTGTTGATGGGTGAGTCGTATCTTGGCATGGGCATATCTCTGATTTTGTGAGTCAGCATGTGCTGCTTGAGGTTACCCTTGGTGGAGAATCCCTTGCTACAGCAATCACAGCGGAATGGACGCTCCTTGGTGTGGCTGCGATAGTGGATGTTGAGGGCACTGGTGCACGCAAACACCTTACCGCAGTAGTGGCAGGTTGTGTTTGGTCTCATAAGGCGTCTACTACCAAGCTGCATGCTGGGGACACTCATCAGCAGGCCGGCAGAGGTCATGGTTGGCTTTATGTCTTCACTGTAATGATCATCATGAGAGTAGTAGCCTGCCAAGTCACCAGCATCTTTATAATGTGGAGGAATGTTTTCTTGAGGAGTTCCCTTTGGTCTCAGATCAAGTGCTCCACTCATATCAGTATCATTCACCTCATTTCTGAACTCCCCATCAAGTTCTTCCTCTGCCATACTAGACGTGATAGATTCAGGTCCATGCCGGTGATACATAGACATATTGATGTTTCTGTTCTCATCTTCAGACATCATCGATTTAGTGTCAACACTGTGACCAGGGCTTGGAGCCATAGAGGAGTCTCCATTCGCCATGGAGCTTACAGGCTGCAGTCCCAGGATACCTGGCATGAATGGCCTACTCTGGAGCTGACTTGTCTTTTTGTCCTCATCAGATGCCAGAGTTTTGGAGGAATGGTCTTCTGCAGGCGGTGAGTTGACATCCGATGGGAGGGTACCATCTTCAGGCTTGTCACCTTCAGGAAATGAATCATCTGGGACTTCTCCCTCCTCAGGTGTTGGAAGATCGTTTCGCTCGTCCACATCCATGTGGTTGTCTTCACCAACGTCGTCTGTCTTTTCCATGTCATCTCCATCAGCCTTGATGTTCATATCCTCAGGCCTGGGGTGCTCCATATGTGGAGGTATTGTCATCCCTTCGGCAGCATGGAGACGCAGATGCTGTTGTAGCACAAGTGGGTTGCTGAAGCGCTTCTCACAGATTGGGCAGTCATGGAGAATTCTGATAGGTCCTTTGCTTCGGTGGACAGCATAGTGAGTCTTGAGGTTCCCTTTGGTTGTAAAAGATCGCCCACAGATTTTACATCTGAAGGGGCGTTCACCAGTATGGGTGCGATAGTGAAGTTGGAGAGAACTCTTGCAACTCAGTACCCGGTGGCAGATGACACATTGGTTAGGGTCAGTTATCTTCTGCTCAATATTCTCTACCAATTGCTGGAGTTTGGAGGTCTCTGAAGCCCGCATTCCTGCCTCAGCCAGGTTGGCCAATGATGGAGGTGTTTCAGGTTTGACTAGGTCTAATTCTGCAGCACTTTTGGAAGACTCGAACGGCATTGCACCATTCTGACTAAATGCCATTCTTGGGAAACCAGCATACGGTAGGGGATACCCAGAAGACATCGGGAAACCGCTAGCAGACATGATTGGGAAGACATTAGAAGACAGGGCAATGGAAGGAGAGGTGGATTGGATCAGCCTCCTTTCATTCGGGGATATACTTCCCGACTGGCTCGTTGATGGACTCTCACGATTATCACCACCTTGACTCCTGTCAATGTTGTTGGAATGTTTCATCTCTTGTTTCATCTCTTCCTCCTCCTCCTCCTCCTCCTCCTGGTAACGCCTGGCGTTGTCTGCCATAGTGCCTTCGGATTCCCTTGGAGAGGTGCTCTTGGATGGTTGATAAGGTGTCATGTCTACTTCATACGGATATTGGGGTTGGTCATTTGGAATGGTGGGCATTGGAATCTGGTGGATTGAAGGTGGTTGGAGAGGCTGGTCCATGAGCGGTGGCGTTGGTGGGTGGTGCCTAATATCCATGTGGACGTGGGGGTACCTAGACTGGTGGCGCTGGAAGTGGACCTTCAGGTTGCCCTTGGTAGAAAACCGGTTCCCACAGATGTTACACTTGTATGGGCGCTCGCCGGTGTGGGACCGAATGTGGATCTGGAGGGCACTGTCACTTCCAAATACCTTGTGACAGAATCTGCATTTGTGACGGAAGAAGGGATCATCAGCACTGAACTTTGGGTCAAAAACCGAGACATTGGGAGGCTTGGGTTTGTGGCCAGCAGAAAGCAGACTCTCATGGTAAGGGAGAGGTGGAGGAATTCCAAGTGGGTTGTGTGGCATATGCCTGTTTGCATGCTGCTGAAGCATCTCAAAGGGTGACTTCTGGCTAGGCAGATGGAATGGTGGTGGCAGTTGCATTGGTGGTAGCAGCCTTCCTTGAGCATGCATTGCCTCTATAGCAGACTGTTGCACAGCCGATGCTGCAGCAGCTCCTGCAGGGGACAAGATGTGCGGAGGGTGAATCATACCATGGATGGTTGGGATTGGTACAATTGGTGTGGATGGAATGCAGGATGTAGTAGCAGTGCTTGCGCTGGAGTGGGGGGCTGGTTCAGCTTTGGCTTCAAAAGTCTTCTCTTCAAGTCCTGGTGATCCCTGACTACCTGAGGAATCTTTTGGCTCTTGCTTCTGTTGACCTTGTTGCTGCAGCTGCTGAAGGTGTTGGTGCTGAATCTGCTGCCTCTGTTGCTGGGCAGTGAGGTGGTTGATCTGATGTTGGATGCTCTGGATCATATGAAGTTGATGAAGGTGCTGCTGCTGGAGGGCATACAGCTGTTCTTGGATCATCACTACATCAGGGTGCCCAGGAACCATGGCAGACTCCCGAGGAAACTGTGCCACAGCATAGGGAGTGTTCTCAAGGTTGTCCAAGGAAACATTTGAAGGTGGGAGACTGGGGTTAGGGCTTTGATCTGAGGACCTGCCGGGTTGTTCATCCTGCTGCTGAGCTTTTCCTTCAGAGACATAGTTTGGCTCAACAGACTTCCTACTCTCTGGGGTCATGGATCGATCGGAAGCAGTGTCGTGGTCTTTCTCGGACATCCTGCTGGACTCGTCCATCCGCTCCTGCCCCTCGTTGAAGATCATCACGACCTGCTTCTTGATGCAGCTCTGCTTATGCTTCACGAAGTCTGCAAAGACAACAAACTCGCCACGGCAGTTGCCACAGACGTGGACATCTCCGATAACTTCATCGTGTTCGTCTGAGTTCATGGCATCTAGAGGCTGGTGTATGCCTTCAGATGAACCTGCACACGGGAGAACAAAAAAAAGAATATGATTTAATGAGATGTCATGTATCATCACATAAAAGCGATTCATATTATTGTCTTGAAACAAATTATATTTGATGTATAATTGAATATCTACATCATGAACTAACGTTTGGAAGAGCAATAACTCTTTGACTCAAAGTTAAAGAAAGCCTTTCGTGCTCTGAACAGAGGACATAAGGTTTATTAATCAAATCAATCAAACAGGAAAATTGAAGGTGACACAACATTTGCTCCTGCGACAATTGCTCCGGGCTTTATTTCGTCTAAGATGTAGGGTTAGGGTTAGGGTTTCAATAGGGTTTTATGTTAGGTTTAGGGTTAGGTTTAGGGTAGGGTATAGTGTTAAATCCAGGGTTGAAGTTAGCCATTCGATTAGTGTATGAAATTTACAGCGGAGCAATTGTCGCCGGAGCAAATGTCATGGAATCAAATTGAAACAGTGTTTTAAATATAATTCATAGAAATTTGTATATCAAAGATGTATTTCAACTGTATGACAGTATTTCAATCATGAAATGATACATATGGACAAAGATCAGCTAAAAGTGCTTCAAAGTGACAGAAATGTGTGAAACATTGTTAAAATGCGCAAGCAATGGTGACCTTTCAACTGCAGCAAATGAAAAAAACAAATGTTATCATCGCATACGTCCTTCAATCTGCAGCTATACAAACATCAGTTCCATCCTTGTCAAATACTTGTGTAATTCTATTTCACATACTGATAAGAGAGTTGCCCTCTGAGGAAAAGACAAAACCTCATTTCCTTCCAACAAGTTTGTTTTTCTTCTATCATATGTACTGTCATGAGGCTTGTGTCAACACAACTGGTAATCATTTCATTTCAACAATGTTTTCGAAAGCGAAACATGACAAGTTAATCATTTGATTGTAGTTTTTCATTTTGCAAGATTCAAATGAACCATTGTGTAATTCAGAATTTTAAACAAAGCTCCAATGAGATATAAATGTATTGATTCACAACTGCCATAAAATAGCCTAATATTGTAATAAGTACTAACTTAATTGTGAACCAGTATGCTCAGCGCAAAAAGTCAACACACATTATCAGATTATATCCAGGTTGCAACAGCAGCAGCACTGTAATTATTCTAACTTACAAGAGATATTCGGCATGAAAGCCACGCGAAGAGATGTACAAAGACCAACAGTAGAAACATGAGCGGAACTTGACAAAGTTTAAGGTGTCCAGGACAACTTCTGAATGACTCCAAATAAAATGTTCAGCTTCGACAGCATTGAAACACAAATGTAAACCAACTCTGGACAACAATGGATTCAGCTCGGGGTCCAATTGGAATACAGTCTGCGATGGTTTTCCTTCCTCTTTGATTTCAAGTTGACAGAGATCCAGAAATTTAAAGACCAGCTTTTGTAGACAAGACAAACTCAAATGTAAGCTAAAAAGCGTTACTCAGTCAGACACAATCTATTGTTTTCTTTAAATGAAATGCAGCTAAATCCCTTTGAATTCAATTATAGGATGCTCCTTCAGATGATTCTTATCCGAGAGTAAATCGGATGATGCCTGTCCAACTCAACAGCTAAAATACTGAAAAAAGATAACATTCTTTTTGATATTTGACTTTCAGTTATTTAACAGTATTCAATCATAGATGCATGAAAGTTTCTGCACATGACTCTGTCGCTTGAGTGAATTCGGTTTAGGGAATCAGAGAATGGAAGAGAAACGCAGGCAGGCTATCTCCTCATCATGTGATCTCCGCAGAGATCTCTCAGCGACAAGCTTGTTACCGCTGGTTGTCCCGGGAAGAGAGCCGAGCCGGGGAGGAGCAGCAGCTACGCATGTTTACAGAAAGAATATCATCGCATTTATGGGTGACACATCCCTGTATATTGGCTGGCTGGATTATTATGATAACAATAATAATCAAACATCGGAGAGCTCTCCAATGCATAACATTATGATATGAAAAGCCTCAGCAATCTTTTGTCGCTCTGCCATCAACTGACAAAGCGTAAATAGACAGTTTTTTTTTGTATCCCTCTTGTAAATAGCGAGCTATGATAGCGTTGAATGGCTGAGTGGGTCGGCTGTTGGTCATGATAACTGGAGTGACACACTAAACCCCGAGGGCACAAATTAATACGAGTGGTGCAGTGATGCCATAGATATGATCACATCATTCATCAAATATTAAAGTGGTAGCGTCAAAATTCATCTAATCGCTTCAATTACTTTGTGGTAGCATTTTTGAGGCTTGCGCATTTAAATTCAGCTGATAATGCAATATCATTTTTCATCTATTGGGTGGTGTGCGATCGTAATTGGTGATTTTGTTTAAGTCACCATCTCGTGTAGAACAAAGGTACTGTGTATGGTATCATCGCTGTAGATGGAATATACAATTTCAGCATCAAATGATATGGAGAAAAGAAAACCAATTGCTTATAACCCTACCTAATGACTTATATAAAAAGATTATCCTTTAATCACCACCGGAGAAAAAAAACCTTATCATCTAACATCATTCTTTTGTGAGAGAATGCCACCTTCATCCATTCAGCTGCCAATTTTATTTTCTCTTGAAACTGTGAAAAATGGGTGAATTCATCATTTAATGGGACATAAATTTCTTTTGAGCCAATGACATTCCCAATATCTGGTTGATGTATCATACGGGGAGTGTTTGAAGAAGACATTAGCAATGCCATGATGATATTTCATCAGAAAATGACTATGGTGATTCGGCTAAGAATGGGGGGCACATCAGTTAGCTGTTCTCCTTACGTGTACCTCATTATCGGATGCCGCTTGCAGAAAAAAATTATGACAAGAGCCGTGAAAGATGGCAAAATGAGATTGGTATGATTTATTACCGATGCTGCTGCTGCTTAACAAAATTGAATATGAACAATAAAACGTGATATCGCATTTTGAAATGAATTTTCTAATGATTGATATGATCATTACGTTTGCCGGGAGAAACACCTGCTTTTCCCCCCCTCCACTTTAATGATACATTTCATATCACGATGTCGATATTGAATATATGGAGAAGACCTTTTATAACTATGGAATTAAAATGTTATGATTATCATCTCATAAATAATGACTCATGATTGGAAAATTTGTATTTGAGACACATTGCACTATGGATATCTTAATACTCTCTGCTATTTAAAAAATACTGAATCTTTTCTTGATTCTGATTCACAAATGCTAAAAATTAGAATGTTTTAGTGATGAGTGATGTAAAAATAGGTTCCAGTATACCCCTTCTCTATCAATATGTGACACTATCTGAATTTTTACTAACATCACAATAAATAGAAGAATAACAACTATCCCATCCAGCCACAATGGAATAGCTTGGTTAATCATGCATTTATGGCGAGGAAGGGAGGGTTCAGTAGGGAAAGAACTGGAATCAGTAAAAGGAAATAATTGGGGATAAATGGGGAAAAAAGGTAAAGATCAAGACTCTATTGATTTGAAATGAGCCCCCCTATGCCAGCCACAGATCAATAAGAATTCCACCGTTATGAAAAGACGTTCCCCTCAATACAATCTCCCTTTTCTCCATCGGATCAATAACTATGCAAATTTATATTTCTCATTGCCCTATTATAAGGGAGAGTGTGGCCCCCTATTCATCAGTGGGGTTTATCTAATTGGGTGTGTTCTTGCACCCCTGTTTGAAAAGGAAAGGAATCTGTGACTCCCATGCATGCATGGATGTATTTCATAATCTTATATGCTTGATAAATGGAATTTGGATCTTCTTCCATTCTTAAAGGTAAAGACCAGTTATGGTCATGCGATTGCATTGTGAAAGAATCGTTGTGGAATCGATCAGAAAAGGTCGATCATCTAGCATCTAGCATCTGCAAGGTTCTGGAATCATCAAAATGATAAGAAATTTGGCCCATTCTTCGTAAAGTTACAAGCACTATACACAGAAAGATGTATATGGGACTACCCTATATCTCTCACAGACCATGAGAGAAACAAATTTACCAAACATATGAATTAGTAGGCGGTTTCCCGGCAAATTTTTTATCATCATGTCAAAACATATTCTTTCACATCATTGGTAATGAGAGCTTCCATTTCATTTTTGAAATTGGGGCGTTTCCAATACTGGTCTTTACCTTTAACCTGTTTAGACTTGGTGGTATATTCACCTATACTATGATTACTGGCGGCCATAAGGGCAATACTTCCAGATCATCTAAGAATAGAATTAAAGATTGCCCTTTTGTTCAAAGCAGATGTCATGACATGCAGGCCAACAACAACAAGATTCCTTTTTTTCTTCTCATTTTAAACTCCAACTTAATCCTATCTCTGTCTCTTTTGGAATCTCTTTGTTTCTCCCTTCCCTCTCTCTTTCCCGTCCTCTGTCCCTTCCCCAACTTTCATTCATTTTCTCTCTCTCTCTCTTCTCAGATGGAGAAATCTTTTATTTATTTTTTCTTTTTTAAATCATATTTTTACATTTTGTCTCTCTCTATTCCCCTTCCCTCTCTCACGTAGGTCCTCCCAGCTTCCACCTCTTAACACTATTCCATATTTGAAGGGGGCACGGTGCAGCTTGCCGTACACCGGTCCTGTG